ATCCTGCCTGCCTGTTCCACTGTATATAACAAACATGCCGTGTTTCTGGGGAGCAGCAGCTTCTCCATCAGAGGCCTCAGGCTGCCTGATCCCAACTTCTCTCTGTGTATGTGTGTTTGCCATTTTTGCATTCTCTCACATTACTACTCAGGATTCCAGGACCCAAACTGTGTGAGGAATCTACAACCTCCCAACTTGTAAGTCAGTGATGAGAATCCTGAGAGAACTTTGTCTCAGTGGTGGCTAACCTAGCTCCAGACTAAAGGTTGTTCTGTACTTGACTAACGACACACCTTAAAAACTCAAGTTGTTTCCAAGAACTTAACAAACTTCATTCAAAGTTCAAAACCATTTAAAGGAGTATGAAAATTTGCCGTCTGTTGCTATGATTGAACACTGACCAAAAGCAACTTGAAGAGAAGAGGGTTTTTATTCTACTTACAGGTGAAACAGTCTATCATGGAGGAAAGCCAGGGCAGGCATTGAAGGCAGGAACCCAGTGGCAGGCACTGAAGCAGAGCCCACCACAGAGGAGTGCTGCTCCTGGCTTACTTCAGGCTCCTGGTCAGCTATCCTTCTTACACAGGGCCAGGGACACCTGCCTAGGGATGGTACCACCCACAGTGGGCTGGGCCCTCCTACATCGATTAACAATCAAGAAAATGTCCCATAGACATGCTCACAGAGTAATCTGATGGAAGCAACTTCTCCAGTGAGGGTCACTCTCCCAAGGCGTGTCAAGTTGACAACTGAAGCTAACCATGACAGTATTCAACAATATAAAATTCAAAAGGTTCACCAAAATTTCCAGAAATGTTTATATATATGAACCATTTTGAGGAGGAAAAGAGATCAACAGAAACAGATACAGAAGTGTCATTGATGACAGACTTACCAGATAAGGACATTAAAACAACCATGAGAAATTGACTTCATAAGCCGGAGGTAGAAGAGATTATGAGCATGTCCCTGAGAGGCCTAGGTAATATAAAAAAGATCAAATCAAACTTGGAGAGATGAAAAAGGACAGGATCTGAACAAAGAGCACGTTAGACCCAAGAAATAGAACCGTGAACTTGAAGACATAGAGAGAGGCAGCATTCAAACAAACAAAAAACAGCTCCGGCCAACTGGACTTGACGTCAATATGAAATATATGTTGGAGTCCCTGAAAGAAAGAAGAGATGATGATGGTGAGGGATAGATAACATGTATTAGAAAAATAGTAACTCAACAGTTCTCAAACTTGGCCAAAAGTCTGTAAATCATCAGACATAAAAAATCTCAAGGAGGGGCTGGAGAGATGGCTCAGTGGTTAAGAGCACCGTCTGTTCTTCAAGAGGGTTCTGAGTTCAGTTCCCAGCCACTACATGGTGGCTCACAACCATCTATAATGTGATCTGATGCCCTCTTCTGGTGTGCAGGTGTACATACAGATAGAGCGCTCATATACCAAAAGATAAATAAATAAATACGTAAATAAATTTACTCTTAAAAAAAAAAAAAAACAAAACTCAAGGAGGGCCTGGAGAAATGACTTTATGGCTACAGACTGCTCTGTAGAGGACCCAAATTCAGTTCCCAGCACCCACTAGGCAGCTCACAATTGCCTCTAACTCCGGTTCCAGGGGATCTGACATCATCTTCTGGCCTCCGAAGGCACCTGCACTCACACATGTATAAACCACATACAGGCAGACACATATGCACATATTAAAATAAAAACAAACTCAAGGAAACCCAAGCAAACATTGACTCTAATACTTGCTATGAAGCTGTTGGCAAAGCAATATACCTGTTTGAGCCCGTTTTCTCATCAGTCATGATAACGCCTGACATATAGTAAGGGTTTGTTCTGCTCTAGGAACTGCCAAGAGCCTCACACTAAAATACTTGTGTTATTGAGTCCGTTTTGCAAGCAAGGGCGCTGAAAGCTTAGGCAACTGGGTAAGATACTCAGTAGATCCAGGACTCAAACGAGAGCCGGAGCATGTATCCCGAGTTCTCCACTGCATCCCTGGATGCTACAGGGCTAGAAAAATGGTAGTAATTACTAACTCTGCTTTTGTCAAAGGTAGAACAAGATGTTCTAGATGAGAAACACAAAAAATAGACACCAAAGGCCAATTTCACGTTCCCCTAGCCACTGCTTTTTTTTTTTTTTTTCCTATTTGACTGTGTTAGGTACTTGATGTAGAATCCTATTTCAGTTACAACAATATCTTTAAGAGTCATCCAGGTTGAGTCATTATCAAAATGTCTTTCTATTTGTTTTAAGATGAAGTCTCGCTATACATACACACACATATATATAGTTCCTTCTCTGTCTCTGGACTGCTGAGATTACAGGTGTGAGTTACCATGGATGCTATAATTTCCTTCCTTTTTAAGGCTCAGTAATATTCTATTGGATGTACACACTGTACATTTTGCCTTTCATTTCATTCATTGAGGGATGGCTTTTACATTTCAATTGTAAACCTTTTATACAAACGTTAACACTCTTTTTTTTATTAAATTTGATTTTTTTTCTTATCAGTTACATTTTTTTAACTCTGTATCCCAGCTGTATCCAGCTCCCTCATTCCCTCCCAATCCCACCCTCCCTCCCTCATCTCCACTCTGCCCCTTTCCAAGTCCACTGATGGGGGGGCCTCCTCCCCATTCATCTGATCCTGTTTTATCAGGCATCTTCAGGACCGGCTGCAAAGTCCTCCTCTGTGGCCTAACAGGACTGCTCCTCCTCCCTTGGGGGGTGGGAGGTCAAAGAGCCAGCCAAACATTAACACTCTTATAAAATACAAGAAAACTATTTTGAAATGAAACTCACTGAAATGAAACTTTCAGAGTCCATTAAAAAGTTTTGTTGGAACATGGCTACTGGCATTCATCTAAATGTTGTTTACTGCTGCGTTCATCTAAAACAGTAGGATTAATTAAGTGGTTACAGCAGAGACCATACAGCTCAGAAAGCTGAAAACATTTACTATTTGGACCTTCACAAAAATCAGGAGGGCCATCTGCTACTAGCTACATAATTACCTGGAGGTTGTGAATTCACTCTCCAAAGCAATGGGGTGAAGTCGCTCTTGCAACTTTGTACAAACTCCCAGAAGTTGTGTGTGTGTGTGCATGTGTGTGTATGTGTGTGTGGTGTTTATGTGGGCGTATGCACGCACACAGGTGTGTGCTGTGTGTGTGTGGTGTTTATGTGGGTGTATGCAGTGCATACATGTGTACTTATATGTGAAAGCCAGAGCTCAGCCTTGGGTGTCATTCTTCAGGTGCTTTTCACTTTGATTTTTGAGGCAGGGTCTTTTACTGACTGGAACTCGCCTGCTCCTGCCTCACTAGTGTTGAGACTGCAAGCAGACGCCATCATGCCTGGAGTTTTTTCACTTGGGCTCTGGGGATCAAACTCAGTTTTTGTTTTTGTTTTTCTTTTTCTCGTAGAAGAAGCCAGGTGCTGCTGAGGATAGGCAGGTCAAAGCGCATAAATGCATTTCAAGTCTTTGCTAGTGCTACGTAAAAAAAAAAAAAAAAAAAAAAAATCTCTTTGGCAAATGTACAGGCTTCCTTAAGCCCAAAGCCAATGGCTCTGGAAATGCCTCTGTCCACCATGAAGCCATGGTAAGAGGGGACTAGGTAACCATTGTGAGGAGTGAAGATTTGGAACCACTTTCCACAGATATCAACCTTTACCAGATGTTGAGAGAGTGAGAGAGAATGAGAGAGAGAGGAGACAGAGAGACACACAGAGAGAGACAGAGAGGAGAATGTTTGTGCTAGGAATTGAACCTTGAGCCCCATGCACTCTGGGCAGGTCCTCTAGCACTGAGGGGCCATTACCATTAAGTCCAGTTCCTTTTCTTGAAGCAACCTCATGTGGGGTTTTCCCAAGGAACAGAGACAAGAGTGAAGCTGCTGTGGGTGAAGAGAGGGTGGGGCAGGCAGAGCCCTGCCTGTTCAGCTTCCCTCCGCATCTCAGCAAGGCCTCCAGGAACAGCTCTGTAATCACCACCCAGGCTTCATGGAGCGAAGCTTGATAACCAGTGCTGTGTGCTCTTCTGGGAGGTATCGGACTGCTCTCCTTCCTACAGGATCCAGAGATGACAAGCAATGGTTCACCAGGAGGAGACCTCTAATCCTCTCAACATGTGTCCCTCAGGAGTGTCCCTAGGAGCCAGGCCATAGGTCTCCTGTTATGGGAAGGTAGCTTTTTGACTACTATTGACTTCAGAAGGTCTCAGCAATTTGTTTGAGGCAAGCAGCCTTGTTGCAATTTGAACTGAGTCACGGGTAACCCTTACTTTTTATGGCTACTCTTTCCCACCCTCTGTAGGTTATCTGAGACGACCATATGCACACACAGAAAGCCAAACAATCAGGCAGGAGGCTAGTCCTTCTCCATGGGATCACTTACAGGTGTCCATCTGCTTTGTTCAGCTGAGACCGGATTCAGCCTATTGCCATGAGGACAGCGGTAGAAACAAGACATTGCCAACCATGCTTGCTCTAGCTGTAGCCAGTTACACCCAGAACCCACTGGCTGCTCCATGGCCACGGTCAGGTTTCTCATTAGATTTCTCTTACGATGTACTTTGTTTCTGAAACAAGGTCTCATGTAGCCCAGGCTGGCCTTGAATTCCTGACCCTCCAGTCTTCACCTCATGAGTTCTGGGGTTAAAGGCATGCAGCATTATTCCAGGACTTAGGAGGTGCTGGGGTTCAAACCCATGGCTTCTAGCTGACTGAGCTACGTACCCAGCCCTCCATCACAAAGTAGTAGTGTCTGGACTTTTGACCTTGGCACCTAATTAGATTAGCGACTTAGTAAAAACCGTGCTGGGGGCGGGGTCACAGAAAGGTAGTGACACCCTTCTCTTTCCTAGAGGGCAGGGTGCTGGACACATGGAAGATGAGAGAACCAGGGCTGCCTGGTTGAACTTCAATGGCTTGTTCGGTTCTTACTATCTGACACTCATCTGTGCTGGACAGGAAGGAGAGTGACAAGTAAGGAACCAGGGCTGGTCACCTGCTTCCTTGTCTACCCTTGGCTACCTGGTAGGTTTTCTAGCACTGGCTTCCTTTCAGCCTTCCTGGCTGGCTCAGCACTGGCTGCTTAGACATTCTGTGCTGGACTCCCAGCAGCCCCAGCGGGAAGGGTTTTGTTGACATTGCTGTTTTCACTTTTTGAACTAAGCACCTCTAACCTTTGTAGCTGCCTTCCCCAGGGGCCCAGCCCTGGAGCTGAACTCCTTCCCCTACTTAGCTCTGCCCTGACCTCTTACCTAGCTTGTTCTTGTCTATCCATCTAGGACTCAGACGAAGCTGGTGCTTTTTAAGGACAAACATGGTGTTCAGATGGGTGTATTTAGATAGAGGCTGGAATATCTCCACTGCCTTCCTTTGCATAGATTGGCTTCTGCCAATGATAAAAACAGTAATAACTGGATGAAGAATAAGGTTCGATTTTTTTTTTTTTTTGAATGTTTAAAGAGCAAGGGAGCTGCTGGCTTCTCTCATGTGGGTGCCTCTGTGTCCTTCGCTCCATCTGCCTTTCTGTCTTGGCTCTTGTCCATGCTGGCAGCATCTGGAATATACACTGCAGCAGCTCCAGGCGGGTTTGCAGGATGTGGTTTTAAATGGAGCCAGTTCAGAGTGCAGAGTAACACTCCTTGAGGGAGTACCTTCACTGGATCAGATCTGCATTTCAGATCCCGGGGGAGTGGTTTCATGCCAGCTGCTCCCTCAGGGTTGTGTCTCCTGGTGTTTTGTTCGGTGAGCTTTAGACTTGTAGCCTTAGGACTTGGCATTTCATAATGTTGTGTCTTTGCATAGCTTAACTTATCTACGTCCTTGTTGACCTTTAATCAATAAAAGATGGCCTTGGCTTAACTGTGGAACAGACTACTTTATAAGACTACTTTCTTCACAGGGCTCTGGAGCAGGGAGCTTTTGTTCCCACTTTTAAGTGGTCAAGAGCTGTTTCTAACCTCTCTTTGAAGGTGTGTTCTTGGGGGTATGGTGGAGGGAGAGGAGGACGACTGGAAAACATGATATATCTTGATTGAATATCCAACGTTAGCTTTTTAGTCTTTTAGTACATAAAATGGTGTGTGTGTGTGTGTGTGTGTGTGTGTGTGTGTGCGCGTGTGTGTGTGTGTGTAGGGAGGGAAAGCCGAGGCTAACAAACATGTTTTCTATGAAAGCATAATGGAATTTGACAATATTTCTGGATTCCTCTTGGACATATTAAATAAGAATGTAGGTGAATCTGAGAGGGTAATATACTGCCCGGGACCCTCTCAGACTTTTAGATCATAATGCTTATTAAGCACTTAACTGAATGCCTTTTCTTGCTTGAAGAGTGCAGGCTTCTATCTGGTCTGTTTTCCTATCACCCACATTGACAGCTGGTAGAGAATGTCAGAGGAAGGATCTCACCTCTGGTCAGATGGGGCTTAGAAACTCTGACACCTCAACGCTGAGGAGACAAGAGCTGTTCACAATGATCCTTCCAATGGATTCTTTCTTCTTCTTTCTTCTTCTTCTTTCTTCTTCTTCTTCTTCTTCTTCTTCTTCTTCTTCTTCTTCTTCTTATTCTTATTCTTATTCTTATTCTTTCTTCTTCTTTTTCTTCTTCTTTCCAACAAAAATAGTCCTCCTAAGGATGAGTCATTAACAGCAGCAGACCTGGGTGAGTCCCTATGCCCAACATCTTTTCACTTTACTAGCCTGCCTGCAAAGCACAAGGTCCACAGCCGCTTTAGGGAAAGTTTGAGAAAATGTGATTTTCTAGCTTACAGGTCCCTCTGCCACAGGGTGGCTGAATTAATGTACTTTTAAGTGTATTACAATCGAACAATCTCTTCCCCCTTCACTCTCTTCCTCCCTCTCTCTTCTTTTTGCCTTTGAGACTAGATCTTGCTATGTAACAGAAGCTTACCCTGAACTTGACCTCTTTTTTCCTTAACCTGCTGGGATTACAGGCATGAACCCCCACGTGTGGCTTTTTTTTTTAAAAACACCTACTATATGCAAGGCAGTTTTATATTAGTTAGTCATGTTTTCCTCTCATATCATAATCGAAACAATGAGGTAAGAACACTTGGTCCCAGTTTCTAGTCGAGAGAATGAAGGTGGGGATGGTTGCTTTGATTTGGGAGATCCCATACTGTAAGCACAGGCTTTGAGAAGGACAGGCCATTTAGATCAAGTCAAACCATCTTATTCTACAACTCAGGATACTAAATATGGTCTGGCGTGATGACGTAGCCTATCCAACATCACACAGAAGGTAGGGATAGAGATGGAGCAAGACTGAGGCTCCTGGATCCTGCGAGTATTTCCCTCTTGAAACCGCTGGACTGAAAAATCATTTGCTGTGAGGGCTAACCGGGGGCCTGCAGGGTGCAACATTCCTGGCTGCTACTTTCCAATCGCCAATGACTTCCCTCGCCCCAATCTGTGATAATACAAATCATCATCAGACATTGTCCTCATTGCATGGCAAGACAAGCCAGACCCCTGTGCTCCACTGACCAACACGCACCCGGAGCAGACCTCTCCCTTTGGAATTTGGGAGAACATTGCTCTGGATGTTAAGTGGATAGCACCTTTCCTCTCCACCCAACTCTGGGCACTCTAGGAGAGCTATGTTGGGAGCTATGATCTCAGCCCAGGGGGAACAGGTTTCGAGTGTGCAGGGGAGGAGCCAGAGTTCAAACAGAATGCCAGACCTCTTGAGTGCACACATCATTATTCTCATTTCACAGATGAGGCATGACATTTTGGAGGGTTGAAAAGCACTTGTGGATCTTGTCTGACTTCTCCTTTACACGCTGGTAGTGTCCCTGTAGAACACTCAGTCTCACTGCCCCTCAATTTGTACCCAGGCCATGAGGAATAGTGCCAGGGAGCTTCTGTTATGTACTCTGTTAATTACAAGAGGATTATGAGCGCACACAGTCATGTTCTGGAAAGTTCCATCTGGCCCTGTGATGGCTCTCACGTCTATGGACCATATAGACACTCATTTTCCCCTTAGGGATGTTTACCCCTATGTTTAGAAGGTCATGTTGTTATCCTCATGCTGTATCAGTAGAACTGTATCAGTAGAAAGCATCCAGCCAGCCAGCCAGCCAGCCAGCCAGCATTCCCAAACCCAATCCTGAGAAATAAACAAGGGAAACAAAGGCACTCACAGGTCATACTTATTTTTAGGTGTGTATCTCTGTGTATGCCACATGTGTAGGGTACAGGCAGAGTCCAGAAGAGGCTGATGGACCCCCTGGAACTGGACTCAGGTGATTGTGAGCTGCCTGATAGGCGTTCTGGGAACCAAACTCGAGTCCTCTGCAAGAACAGTGCACACTCTTAAACTCTGAACCACCTCTCCAGCTCTAGGTCATATTTAATTTTTAAAAGGACAACAGTGTTATTGAATTCGAATAGGAACACACAGCTTTTTTATAATCCAGATTAACTTGTTTTATTGACAGAAAAGAGGCAAATAAAAATGACCTTTAACCACTGAGATGCTAATGACTGGACCCTTTTGATGAACAGAGGTATGGAAGCGGGTTTCTGATCCCTTATCCTAAACTCTTTCATGAACAAAATGAAATGGACCCCGAGTGAGGCAGCATTAGGCATGGTGGTCTCAGTACTCTCTTAGGGTCTAATGCTGTTTCTCCTAGTACCCTGTGTACCAGGAGAGTGCCCCCTGGTGGTACAAACTCCAAGTTACACTGAAATAAAATAGTGTTTCGTGGCTCAAAGAAGGGGTGAAGAGGCTTGGGAACAAACCCAAACTCAGTTTAGTAACGGAGTATTTAGAAACTGAGGCTGCTTGTGCAGGCCTGTAATTCAAGCTACTCAAATTACAGAGCAGCTAAGGCAGAAAGATCTCAAGTTCAAGGCCAGTCTAGGAACTTAGAGATTTTGTCTCAAGATTAAAAAAAAAAGAAGAAGAATAAAGAAGGCTTAGGGATGTAGCTCAGTGGTAGAGTGCCTGGTGCCTGCCTGGCGTGTGTGAGACCCTAGGTTTAAGCCCAGACCTGGGATCAGGGAATGAGTGTCCTGAGAATTACATCTTTGGAACTTTCCAAGTAGCTATGGTGGGTCTTTGGGCATTTAGTAGAAAAGGTTGGGTTTTAGAGTCAGGGGTAGCTTGAAATTGCTATTGTGTTTCTAGCTTCCTCTAAACTCACTCTGTGCCTTCACTTCAGACTTGCTTGAGGAGTAGAGGAAGGAAAAGGGGGCTGGAAGAATGATGAAGGTTGAAAGCTAGAGCCTGACCATGAGAGTTCATGTACTATGCTGGAGTCTCAATTTGACCTTCAGAGCAACAAGGAGCCAGGGGAAGCCATTAGGCAAAATTGGCATGAGGGTTTGTTTGTTGGAAAGATAACTGTTGTCAGGGCTGCCATGGATGTGGAAGGACTCGAGGCTTTGGTCATGGCAATGGAGCTGGAAAAGGCAAGAAAGTTATCTTTGAAGCAGAATTGACAGATCACGGAACATGTTGGGGAGGGCGAAGACGCAATTGAAAAGACACACGCATGGAGCTAGCTGCTCAAACGCTTCTCCATAAACCCCACTTGAAGCTCATCACTTTTTCATGTACTAGATGTCATCATTATCATCATCTTCTGTGTAGGAAAACGGACATCCAGGGGCATTAAGACACAGACACACAGCCAGGAGGGTAGAATGCCTTAAACTAGTTCTGGCCATATCAATAGGACAAACTGTGTCCCATGAGTCAGTGTGCAGGAAGTGCCAGAGGAGGAGGCAGTCTGGGTCCAGTATTAAATGTGTACTGGGCCTCCAGGTTGTGCAATCTCCTGGTTGCTAAGAGTCTCTGATAATTAGAGTCTCCAGGTTGCTAGGTAACCTGAGTTGCTAAGAGTTTCAGTTTATTATAGGTCTTGGGCTGTTAGAAGCCCCAGGTTATTCAGATTTTCAGTGTATGAACAGCTTCATGTTTCTTGAAGGTCCCCAGTTGCCAGTGACATAAACTTTTAGGGGCCTGAGGCTCTTCAGGCTCCCAGGAACCTAAAGTTATTGAGTTATTGGGAGTGAGTCTTTGGTTGCTAGGAAGCAGAGGGTTCGAGAAGCTCTGAATTTGTAGACAGCTTCTAAAGGTGTCCATTGGCTCAAAGCCTCACTCATCACCCCGTGCTGTTCAGGGTTCCTGAGTTCCTAAGGGCACACAAGATACACAGGCCTCCTGAGTACTGAGTGCTGGCTGCCTTCTTCTACCCAGCTGGGTTCTAGCCAGCCAGCCAATAGAGAGGCAGAGCTACATACTTCTCTCAAAGTGTTTTCAAAGTGTTTATTTTGCTGTAGTTGGTCTTGTTCAGCTCTCATAACAGTATAGAGCCTGATTTACAGATCCTGATTTATTCTACTCAGGGCTGTATGGAATCAACGAGGTGCTGGTATATGAAGCCCTTTAGAGTAGGAACTTGACTATAAAGCAGCCTGATGTTCAAACAACTTGGGCTCTGTTTCTGTTGTTTTTATTCACCTTCCACTGTTAAGATGATACTAGGTTGCAAACAGTTCTGGACTTGACACACCCTTAAAACAGTTAAATTAGCCTGTGTTTTCTTTTTGTAAGAAACCTTTTATTTCCCAATAGCTACTGACACAGGCAGTTGTCTTCGGGAGCCCAGGTCCTGCTTCTTCCCTTTGGGGTATCCAGGCACCAAAGCATACAGACGCTGGACCGACCAGAAGGAATGAAGCTTAGTGACGCAGGTGGGTTAGCAGTCAGTATCAGTCTGGTGGTGAGTGCTGGATCCAGGGTGTGGCTGTGGCTGTGGCTGTGGCTGTGGGGTCCAGGGTGGGGTGAGGGAAAGCCTTCTCTCTTACAGTTTTTTCAGTGATACAGCTCTTCTTTATTCAGGGGAATAAGGGCTAGTAAGCCTTGGGGAAGTGGGTGGGGGCTTTTGGGGGTGAATGTACGTCATTGTCTGGGGTGCTGGGTGGGAATGCTTTATTTGCAACCCAGGTGCTAGCTGGACATGTCCCTGTAAGAAAACCTGAAATCTGGTCACCAGGCTATGTTACTACCTCAAGTGTGGTGGAGGTGAGGGTTGTAAGACTATGTGGACCTGGACATGTAGGCCCAGAACAGGGAGGGAGTGATCTTTACTCCTGCCAGGCTGGTTCCCCTGGTCACAAGGGTCACGTGCCCTCCCTTTTGTTTTATAAAGGAGAGGTGTTATCATAGTCATCAACCTCTATGTTGGGAGCAGTTTGGTACTGAGCCAGAATCTGATTGGCAGTGATTTTTTTATTTTTTATTTTTTGCAATGGTACTTATCTGCCATTTTAGAAATTGGATGAAGCAGGATGCCAGGGGGAATAGGGCTCCAAAGGTCAGTACGGGTCAAGCAGGGGAAGAAGCCAAGCTATCAGAGGGTTTGAGTACCATGGGGTAGGGGTGTCGGGTGCATAGATTCACTGACATAGAAACAACATTCCTCCCCCAACTCAATGCAAGTCCCTTCCTGTCCGGTAGTCAGTAAGTCCATGGCTCTCCGGTTTGGGAGAGTAACTGTCCTGATAACTGTCCATAATGGATGGCATTGCCTAGTCAAGCTTGTTCTAAATGTCGCTGGCCAGATGCTGTGTTTGGATGAGAGCTACTCCAGCGGCTCTTGAGGCACCCAGGGAGACAGTGAGCAGAGGGATGAAGACCTTCCTTTTCTTTCGGTCCCCTCCCAGCTGTAAAGCGAGTTCTTCAGGTTCATAGAGATAAACCAGGAGAACAACTATTATGGGGGTGCAGGAACCTTGAAAAGGGGGTTAATGCTGGAACCAGTAGTGTCCTCAGGCTAGGAAAGGGGCAGAGGGTTAGCACGTAGAGGTTTGGTGACAGCAATGTTATGGGACATGCAGGATGAGATCTTGAAGGGGGCCCTACAAGGCAAAAGGGGGGAGGTATGTCGAAGAGAGGAATGTCTTGTAACTTTCATCCCAGTAAGGGCCCAGGAGGTCCTTGGAGCAAGACATTAATGAGAACAGTTGCCAATAGTGGCCGGGAGAGGGAAGCTCAGAAGCGCTGAGAGGAGCTGTGTGGGATGCTTAGGGGAAGGAGACCAGCTGTATACTGAATGGACTGTAGCCGGGAAAAGGTGGCCTGGACCTCCTTCTGAGTTTTAGCCTCCTGTTGAAGAATGTTAACGTGGGCAGAGATCGATCTGGAGGCAGGGGCAAGCTAGCAAGAGATGTGCAGGCCGGCTACAGGGTTTGGGTTTTAGCCTAGCCATTAAGATGGCGCTTACGCATGGCTCCCAGCCACCATCGTTCCTTACCAGGGATCACTAAGGAAAAGCTGAAAAGGGGTTTTAAGGTTGGGGGGGGGGTCATGGTGCCACCATGACTGGCGGATTCAATTTGGCGCCCCCAATGTCTGCAGCCTGCATACACGGAGCCTTCCCAGAGACAGTCACCTGTGTTACAGTAAGAAAAGCAGAGGACAGGGCAGGGGACAGCGGAGACGGAATCGGGTGTAGAGGGATCTCAGTTCTGGTTTGGCATCCTTCAAGTGGGCAGTCCTGGGTTCCTATGGTTTTCTGTGTCCGTTGTCGCTCTCCCTAGCAAAAACTCTCCAGTGGTGGGTATTGGGAGGGTTAGGAAGAGGCTGGGCAGTAGCAGGGTTAGGATGACGAGTAACAGAAACAGCTACGACAGGAGGAAAGGGAAGCCTGTGAAGGGCACGTGGCCTGGGCTGCAGCCACCAGGTCAGGGATATCGTTCAGGAGATCTTGTTCTGTCAGTGGCGGTGCCTCCTCCGCCTCCTTGGTCCCTCTGCTCTGAAAACACACAAACTTTTAAGGGGAACGTCGCAGGCTTTGACGTCCCTATGGACTGTGTGCTGTATATAGATCAGCTAATGATGATTCTCTGCTCTGTTTGAGCAGGCAAAAGGCACCAAACTGTGTAAGTCCGTTTGGACTGCATCACCTGTTTTGTTTGTTTTCTATTGTTTTGTTTTGTTTTTTCCCCCCTTTATGTCTGCAGCCAAGATTTTTAGGAGGTCTTTCCTGGTCAAATTTGATTTTTATTGACTTTGAAGGAATTCACAGCTTTTTGTTTCCTGTTGAAACAAGAGGAAAAAAAAAAACCTCTTCCCCAACGCAACATATTTTTGACTTTTATTCTGATTGAATTTTAATCCCATTTAAAAATCTAGTGTTTTGTTAAGCAGCTGTGTTACCTGTCTTGTTGAAATTTTAAAAGTTTTGATGTCAATAAAGCATCATTTATCACACATGCTGAGAGTAGCTGAGAAAAGAAATTCCATGCTAACCTATGTGACCTATGTAAAATAAACTGGCTTAAGTAAACCTATATTATATCAGTTGAGGACTAAATAATAAAAAATAATATAAAAGAGGGCAAAAACGTATCTTCCGATTAATTTCTGTACTGGTTTTAATATTGAAATAACACCTTAGATATATTGATAAATTAAAGGAAATGTATTAAAGTGACTTTTCCCTATTTTTGTTAGCTTCTAATGCATTTATTAGAAAATACAAAATTATACATAGTTTACATTTTGTTTCTATTAAATGACCTTGTTTAAAAACATAGACGTTTAATTAGGTTGATTGATACCACAAGCAAACAGCATGCTTACAGGGAATTTCTCAGAAGTAATATAAAGTAGATTAGATCTTGTCAGCCTTTATCAATCATAATTTTGTGTTTTTATTAATTTTAAAATAAGGCACCTTTTGAAGAGTAAAGACATAGAGGACAACCATAACTTTTAGACGGCAAAACCACCAAAATACAATCGAGTTTTGGACCTAAGCAATCCATCTGTGTCTCCCGTAATTTTTTTTTTTTTCCACCAGAGCCAATTTCCTTTTAGCTTCAGCTGATAATTTTCTTGGACTATTTAATTTCAAATCACCTTGTAAGTTTTGAGAGGAATTACCTAACTTTTGAACATTTATTTCCGCTATTTGGGCAAAACAACAACAACAACAAAACCCATTTAAGCAAAATTTAAACAAGAACATTTTAAGTTTTGGGTCAGCTACCTCTCTCTGTGTAGCTTCAGTGGCAAAACTCCACCCATAATTCTTGGACAACCGCTTCCACTGCAGCCTTTTGCCTCTTGTTTTTGTTTGTTATGGCAGCGTGACCTGAAGAGGCCCGACAGCCTGGCAGGTAGCAGCTGCTTTTGTAGGAGGGGGCACCTCTATGTTTGTTTAGCCCCTGGAAAGCAGACCTGAGAGGCGAGACAGAGGTGTGTTGGCAGGTAGGGTCAGTTCCTGTTCGTCAGAAGGCGGGGTGCCTCGTCTCAGGCTTGAAGCCAGTGGAGGTGTACCTAGCTGTACATTTTTGCTGGCTGAGTTGTTTGTTGAATCCCCGTGGGGGGAAAACACACACACACACACACACACACACACACACACACACACACACACA